TCGTCTGCCCCAAGTCACTGCACCTCACCTCGGGAACAACTATATTTAACAACAAATAGTCTGTTAGTCTTTAAAGTACTACCAGACTATTTGTTGTTTTTTAAGTTTATCCTGTACACACTAACTCAGCTACCATCTGAAGCTTTTATATTTAACAATTTATTCATGCAGCTGTCGTGTGACGGCGACTGTTTTCTGTTACTTGTCACTAGCCAGCTTGCAGTTCGGTGGCGTAAATGTTCAGTGTTGGTCGCCAGCCAGCACATTGTCAATGGTGAGAGACCACCAACACAGCTACTAGTGCTCCAGATGCAGTAAGTGAGTTTTCCCAATCATGCCCTGAAGATTTACCCCAATGCCCTGCAAATTAAAATCAATTCTAACTCTTTGGGGAAAAGAAATTTTACATAAATTCCTTGCGAACTCTTGAAATGTTATGTACTATTATTATTAGTCCTGTAGTAATACCCACCAGCATCAGGGCTCCATAGTTCATGGTGATGTAGAAAAAGGATGATAAGATCCTATCTTTAAAGAATAATATATAAAAATATCTGTAATCCAAAACCCAGGGGGTTCTTGCTGTTTCATTTCAACTAAAATTTAGTAAACAAACAAACAAACAAAAAACCCACCCAAATTGTATATGCTCTAATAAGAGTTTGAGGGTTTTAGATTTTAGTGATTTCTTGCATTTCTCATCTATCACTCAATCAGACAGAAAAACAATTAAGTATAACTGGATCCTTTGCAGCAGGTATAACCAATATTTAACATGTTTTACTATGTATCAAAATGTATTAAGCCAGTGTAAGTTGTTTGGGATCTAGCTTAGTTTCTGCATGAGGTTCCAATACTGACTGTCACAAAATGACATCACCTTGCAAGCAAGACAGCTGCTGTCAGTACTAGACGCATAAATACTAAATTTTAATTACATGTGACTACCCCTTCCATCTTATTTTAATTTGGGGTAGGTGAAAAGAGTGGCTTGAGCTGCTTGGTTTAGAGAGAGAGTGAAATTTTCCTGTAACAACAAAACCTATTGACCAAGGAGACGGGCAGCCTATCAGAAATGAGTGAAACTGTAGGGGTGATGAGTAGAGGATTGCAGGAGGAGGGAAGACCGAGGAGGAGCGTGGCAAGAAAAATGGACAGGAAAAGTTAAACAACTCTGGCAGTGACTGCTGGTCTTTTCAGCCCAACAGCGTGCATTAAAATTACCTCGGTTGCTTTCTGGCTCCACTGTCTGACTGGCGTCCTGAGAGTTGCCATTCCCCAAGACCGGTTTCGGGGGCTGCACGTTTGCTGATGCCACATGGGCCAGCTGTGGGAAGGGGCCAGGCAGATGCGGGGGAGGTGGCTGACGGGGGTGGTAAGGCACACCCGGTGGGCACACGCGAGAGGACAGCTGCTGGATGGCAATCATCTCTGGACTGTCCATCATGGAATCCCCACCCTGGCATCCTCTCTGGACTTGAGGGGGTCCCCCAAACACAGTGGCTGGAGGCTGCTGCATTCTCTGACCGGTGGCTTTGCCAGGTGGTCTGATATATCCTGAGGCAGGGACCCCATGAGGTAGGAAATTTGATTGCTCAGTCCACTGGCTGGGAGGCAGAGGTGGTCTTACTGCTCGAGGGTCCATCATGTGACTAAGAGCCCGAGACTGCAAAGAAGGTCCTGTGTTCAGGGGGGGCTTCTCGTCTGGACCCAAGGAGGTCTGGTTCGTTGCACTGTGGCTACCATTCCATGCAGCAGGATGCGCTCGATTTAGATATTTATATGGTCTGTACATATGGCCCGGGGGGACCTCTGAGCTCTCAGGGGGTCTCACAGGAGGTCCATTGTGCCGCGGAGGAATGAATCCTTGCTGGAACTGTACTGGTGGGTACATACTAGCATCTGGGGAAGGGCCACTCATCCGCCCAAGCTGCAAGGATCCAGGCCGTGGTCCTAGTGCAGAGACATGTGTCGGCCCTGCACACACCTGCTTCTCCGGTGCAGCCAATCTGTGTCCTCGGGGGTCATTTAATCCAAGTGTAGACTGCGGGAGGGAGAGAAAAGAGCCAGGTTCAGTGAAAGAGTCACTAGTGACTGGCACATGAAAAGCTACAAAGAGTAATAGGAAGAGACAGGAAAGAATCAGTGACTCACAGCATGGGACAAATCCCTTCCCAAGCAGAGGTTGCCATTTGTAACCAATGAATGCAGTGAGGTGGAAACTGCAATCCCTGAATCAAACCCCACGGGTGCTGAAGGGCAGATCCCGGCTCTCAGTTCTCTGATCCACAATAAGAGGCTAGGACGCTGTGCGTGTGAATTTCAGAGCCAGGTTCTTACCTGCATGGCAAAGTGCTGGTGCTGCTGAACAGGGTCTCCAGGGTGGGGTTCTGGTACTCGTGGTGATCCATACAATTTAGCTGGATCTGATCCCCGCAGAGGGCCAAATGTTCCTGGCACTGCAGGCCGCTGGAAAGAAAAACAAAAGCTTCTGTAAGTCTTTGCTGTGTACAGTAATATGGCTCACTTGCTACAAAGTTACTCCTTTGCACTAAGAATGTAAAATCCTGTTTAATTAGTTAACCAATTAAGCATTAAGTTTAACCAGTTAAATGAGGGTGAGCTGTGCCACTGCAGTGTCACTGCCCGCACTGCACCTGGGCTAGACCTGCCATGGATGTAGGCTGCTCCAGCTGGGCTGAATGCTCTCTGCCCACAGCAGACCCCACAAGGCTAGAGCAGCCCCCTGCCCACAGTGGCAGGGAGCTGCTCCAGCCCCCCATCAGTTAACTGTAACCAGTAAGCCTCACCTGTCAATGGGGCTTACTGGTTAACCATTCACACCCTTACTTTGCACAGGGATCCAGAAGCAATCTCCCAGCTATGACGCCCACAGACAAGACCTTAATATAACTGCCAGACACCTAACTAGCTCAAGGCTAACAATAAACAGATCAGAAAGTTGTCCGTCCCCCCGAACCTTCCCAGCTAATTCCCAGATGCTGACAGAGCCTGGATTAATTGGGAAAGGGGACTCTGCTGGGATTCCTATCAGGATGCTCGGTAGCTCCATCTCTCATGTGAGCCCCTAGGGCAGAGTTCCAGGCAGCAATCTTGTTCATTTTATTTGGCTTTTACTTAGGAAGCTATGGCTAGCAAGAGAGGCAACCAAGATGTCCATCTGCAGACTCAGGAAGACAAAATTGTATCGTCTTTGCAACTCTAAGAATTAAAATGTTTCAACTTAAAATCTGTAGCATGGATGACGTTAAGTCTCACCAGTCACCAAGGAAAAGTGTTTTATTTACCATTGACAAGGCGACTTTTCTCAAGTCTGGCACAGATCACACCAGGAAGGAAGAATGGAGGAGTGAACCAAAGAAGATTAAAAAGGATACAGTGAAAACTATGGCGGGACAAAGGAGGAAGAAAAGAGAAATAAAAACCCATGTTCCATCACTATGGTTCTGATCATAAAGTAGGAATTCTGCTAGGAACTTACAGGGCACAATTTTATTCTCTGCATTTATAATCTGTGAAAAACTTTAGAGGGCCCTTCTTACCATCTGGCCAGGGTGTGGCACCTGGCTGGGCATTCCACCATAATGCAATGGGCGAGGGAAGCCCTGGCCATTAGAAGTGACTGACTCCCGAGGAGGCTGCACTGTGCTGCCACTTGGATCTTCTGCAGAGGAGGAAGACGAGGAGGAAGCAGGAGCCCGGGGAGTAGCCCGGAATGGTGGCGGTTTCCCTCCATTCTCCAAGTGTTGCTGTCTCCTGCTTGGTCCCTCTGAGTCTCTGGACCGGGTCCAAACATTGCCCGTGCTAGAGCGCCCACTCCGACGGCTCCTCTTCTCCCGTTTCCCATCCACTCTGATCCAGAACTCCTCGTCTGTATCCCCGTCTTCACCAGGAAAGTGCTTCATCATTGCCCGGTGGAAGCATCTCTCCAAGTTGTATGCCATCTTGGTGTATTCTGTGTTCAAAACAAGAGAGGCAGGGAGACAGACCTTAACAGAGAAAGCTAATTAGGTACAGCCAGTTAGATTGTCCCTATTCAAAGGTTCTGCCTTCTCACGAGAAGTTAAACAGAAAGGGGAAACAGGAAGGACTGTTTGTGATCAGCCTACTCTGGGGCTACATCTAAAACTCTGCCATGTCCAAGGAACGTGTCTGCTTTTCCGAACAAAATTTTGGAAAATCAAACTTACTTTTTTGGCATCCCTGTAAACCTTGTTTTATGAGGAAAAAGGGATGTTCCAAAAACGAGTTTTTTTTCTGACATTTGGCTCAGTGTAGATGGGCCAATGTTGGGAAAGCCTCTTCTGAAAAAAGAAGCGGAAAAAGCTATGCAATTTGCAGTTTGCAATTTGCATAGCTTTTTCCGGAAGAACAGCATAGTGTAGACATAGCATGGGTCAGTACATGAGCTGGAGCTTTTCAACAAACACAAAGGCTGTGTCTACACTGGCATCCCTTCCGGAAAAGGGATGCTAATGTAGCACTTTGGAATAGGCAAATCTGCGGGGGATTTAAATATCCCCCGCGGCATTTGCATTAACATGGCTGCCGCTTTTTTCCGGCTTGGAGATAAGCTGGAGAAAAACGCCTGTCTAGACGTGATTCTCCGGAAAATAAACCCTTTTCCAGAGAATCTCTTATTCTTCTTTCAAGTAGGAATAAGAGATTCTCCGGAAAAGGGTTTATTTTCTGGAGAATCACGTCTAGACTGGCGCTTTTCTCCGGCTTATCTCCAAGCCGGAAAAAAGCGGCAGCCATGTTAATGCAAATGCCGCGGGGGATATTTAAATCCCCCGCAGATTTGCCTATTCCAAAGTGCTACATTAGCATTCCTTTTCCGGAAGGGATGCCAGTGTAGACACAGCCAAAGTGGGTGAAGTAATATCTTTTCTTGGGCCAACTCTTGTTGGTGGCAGAGACAAGCTTCTGAGCCACACAGAGCTCCTCCAAAGATGTGGAAGAGGGAGCTAAACAGAACAGTGCAAATTGGGACAGATTTTTTTAGCATAAATGGTTAGCACATATTCTAGAGGGCCATTCAAGGTAGAGTGGCCCATTAAAACCTCTGCAGTTTAGGATAAAAAGAGGGGGTTAGTAGGATACAGATTGTTGAAATAAGCCATAAACCTAGTGTCTCTGTTCAGTCCATGGGTATGTCTAGACTACAGGGTTTTTCTGAAAAAAGTGGCCTTTTTTAGAAAAAAACTATACCTGCATCTAGACTACCACTGTGTTCTGTCGACAGTAAATTGACAGAACATGGCGGTTTTGTCAACAGCGGTAAACCTCCTCATTTTACGAGGAAGAACGCCTTTTTTCGAAAGTGCTCTTTCAAAAAAAAAAGGTGTTCTTGAATGCAAACAGGGCTTCTTTGAAAGAGAGCATCCAGACTGCCTGGGTGTTCTCTTTCGAAAAAGTGGATCGCTTTTTCGAAAGAAGTGGTTGCAGTCTAGACGCTCTTTTTCAACAGAGGCTTTTTCAAAAGATACCATCGAAAAAGCTTCTGTCGAAAAAGGCGTGCAGTCTAGACGTAGCCCATGATTTTTAGTGTCTAGCAAAGTATGAATTTAAGCTCTCAATTTCCTCTTTTGAAGGCTTTGTACAGGTCTCCTTCATGATGCAGTTTATTTTGAGACCATATCAAACTAACATCCCAGCATGGTTTTAAGAGAAATTATGTTGCTAGAAATGCTAAATTATAGTTAAAATACTGGATCTGAACAGTCAGTAACAATCCTATAATCGTCAACCTCCACGTTCTGGAGATATTCTTATGTTTTCCCAAATGAATTCCACAGTAGTACAATCAGATTATTATCTTCACATTCTTGGACTGTTATTAACAGGGATTGACAAATTATGGAAAACCCTACTCGCCAGACAAAAAAGGGACTTGCCGCCACCCCCCCAAGTGTTTTTTTAATGGCATAAATTCCTAATAAGAATAAGAACAGTAATTACTAATAAGTTATTAATAAATATCACCCAGGTTATTAATAAATATCTTATAAACCTCTACCTTTTCTCTCTGCTGCCATGTCTCCTCCCCTTGCTCCATCAGCTCCCCTGGTGCCTGCTGCCCCCTAACCCCTCACCCTCTGCTGTCCTGACTCCTGCCCTTCTCACTGCCATCAGCCTTCCTGAGACCTGCCCCCCTCCGCCAGCCCTTCTCTCCGCCCTGTGCCCACTCCTCAGTAGCCCCACTCTGATCGTGTGAGCTACCCCTCCTCATCCCTTCTCCTAACACCTCCCTCTACACATCTGCCCTGCCTCTCTCCTCTGGTGCTGGTCCCTCCTCTGCAGGTGTCTGCCTTTCTGCTCCCCGCCCCCCCCCCCCAATGCCCTGG